TTGTAAGTATAAACTCCTGTTTGTTAAGGCCATCCCATTTGTGCTATATTCTTGTCAGAACGGCACTAGGTAATCAGAACACTTCCTCAGCCTAACCATCTAAACTGTGAGAAAATAAATTTGTTTGTTAAAGCCATCGCCTGGGGCATTTCTGTTAAAACAGCACTAGGTAACTAAGATATGATCTTATACTCATTTGGGATTTAAAAAAAAAAAAAGTGCTAAGTCCCTAGAACTCAAGTTATCAGGTTGTTAGTGGTTTTCAAGTAGGGGCAATTTTGCACCCCAGGGTACATATGACAATGTCTGGACACATTTTTGGTTGTCACAATGTGTGTGTGTGTGTGTGTGTGTGTGCGGGGGTGGTACTACTGGTATCTGGTGGCTTGAGGCCAGGGATGCTTCCAAATATCCTATAACACACAAGACAGCCTCCTACAACACAGAATTATCTGGCTCATAATACTGACAGTTGAGAAACCCTGCTTTAGGCAACCCCAGGCCAACATGAGTCCTGGCCAGTCTTCATGAGGCTTGGCATCTCTTTTTCCCTAGAATTGCCCAAGCAGTTAAAGTCCCAACTGCAAAGCCTCTGTTTCTAGATATCTTGGCTGAGTGGCCAAGAATGTGCATACCCTAGGGATATGTGAGCCCAAGATGGAGGTTCCAAAGATGCCCAGAGAAAGCAGAATGTGGAGGAAGTCCCTGACCCTCCTACAGTGATCTGTGAATCAGATAAGAGCTTCAGAACCACTTCCTAGTCCTGAATCACCATGAAAGCCTACAACTTGGTTTAGGAGAGAGACATACCTATAGCTACAATGGGAATCCTAGAGATTCCCCAAGATATTCAAGAGAATATAGGGGACATGAGACTCCTAACACCTTACAAAGTGATATTGTATAAATATGGCTCACTTCCCTGTGAGAGTTTACTGGTGAAGTGAAGGAGGAGGCAGGCGCATCCAGGAGGAACTGTCTAACCACACATTTTTTTTTTTTTTTTTTAATTGTGATTTGGGTGAAAGCGTACAGGGCAAATTCACTCTCCATACAGCAGTTCACATATACTTTGTCTCATGACATTGACTACAATTTACCCCAATGCAACAGCTCCCCTCCCACTTCCTCCCCATAGTTACCTCTTCCCAGTGTCCATCCCTCCATGCACTCCTGCCCCCTGAGCTGTCTCCCTGTGCATAAGCAGCCCTTCTTTCTCCCATGATTGTTCTCTCCAAGGAGTGTATCTACCTCAGGTAAATGTTCAACTCATATGCCTGTCTTTTGTTTCGTTGGAAACCACGGGTGTGGGTTCAATTTCAGACCTGAAAGGCAGCTAGGGGCCATAGTCTCAGTGATTCCACCAGGCTCTATCGGACCAGCAAACTTAGTCTCCCTTCCCTCCCTTTTTTTTTTTTCCCAAATGATTTTGAGTTTTGTTCCACATTGTTCTCCCTCTCTATCCAGAATCTCCTACACAGATCCCATTCCAAGTGGTTGACAGTGGTAGCCGGGCACCATCTAGTTCTTCTGGTCTCATAGTCATATAGACTTCAGATTGCATGGTGTACCAGTTGCCAGGACTAATTGTTTCCATGAATCTTTGGTAAGATTTATTCCCAAGTATTTTATTTTTTTGGTAGCTATTGTAAATAATATTGATTTTCTTATTTCTTTTTCAGCAATCTCTTTGCTGGGGTAGAGGAATCCAACTGATTTTTGGATGTTGAATTTGTATCCTGCCATGATGCTAAATCTTTCAATTAGTTTCAGTAGATTTTTGACTGAGTCTCTTGGATTTTCTGGTGTAGGATCATATCATCAGCAAATAGGGATAGTTTGACTTCTTCCTTACCAATTTAGATACCTTTAATTTTCCTTTCTGCCTGGCTAGGACTTCCAGTACAATGTTGAATAGAAGTGGTGATAGAGGGCATCCTTGTCTGGTTCTTGTTCACAAGGGAAATGGTTTCAGTCTCTCTCCATTGAGAAGAATGTTGGCTGTTGGTTTTGCATAGATGCCCTTTATTATGGTGAGGAGTGTCCCCTCTATTCCTATTGTGCTGAGAGTTTTGATCAGGAATGG